TGATTTATACATTCATTTCAGAATTTTCTGGTTATAATTTGGCTTCTTGAGTAGAAAAATGAATACATGTCTGGTCTATATTAATACTGGTCTGATTAGCAATTATATTTCTCACACAATTACATTTTGTATACTACACATTAATCTCCTGAATTTGAGTTTATTACCTATATTTTTTAGAGTTCAATCACCATGGACAAATTTTCCACTTTCTAGATCTGCCAAACTGAGTGGTGTGATCAGTACCAAGATCCCCTTCAGCCTTAAAATTTTGAATTTATATATTTTGTTTAATTGAAAAATTAAAATAAAAATTCAATCTTGTATTAATGTGGTATAAATCAAAATGCACAGGGACTGTAGAGAAATTATTGTGACAAATTCTATCAAATTTTATATTCCTTACACATAGTCTTGAGGGAAAAGAAAATTACATTTTTCTGAATCAAGGCATGTTAGGGAAACATGGAAACTGTACTATGAAATATGAAGAATGCAATGGAGGTACGAGGGAATACAGAACTGAGGCAAAGTAGGAGGTTTATTCCAAGTTTTAAAGTAGCTATATTTAACACTTTAGTATAAATCCTTTTTATTACAAATAACAACTGTCAAATCATTTTCTGGAAAATAATTGAAATGATGGACCTGGGAATCAACTGTCTGGGAAAGAAAATCACAAAGAAGTGAAGTGATTTTGAAGGTTTTTTTTTCCCCCCCCCACATAAATAACTAATCTGATAAACACTTTAGAGTGGAAATGCATTAAGGCAGTTGCTTACTTGATTTTGCCCATTCTGTACCCTATGATATTGAATTGTTCAGGATCACTGAGCCCACATGCTGTAATGAGAATTATATATAATTTACTATACATATTTTCATATAATAAACTTTAAGCATATATTTATCTAGTAATAGCAGACACTAGTTTTTGCTAAGGAACTGATAAGTTATTATAATATAAATATTTATATATGTTACATATTATGTATATATTACTATACATATATACTTATATGTTCTGGATTTCAACTGAGTATCCCAAATTTTCATTATCTCATACTACCAGCATTGGAAACTCTAGTTTTTGTTTCCAGAACTGATTTATTAATCATAAGTTAACTATTAGTGGTAGGAGTTGCCAGTTTCTTGCCAAACACCCATTCACCCCTTTCTCTTTAGAACCCAAACTCTAATTTTAGGCTGGTTATATTGCTTCCTAATATAAAAAGCACATTGTCTTCCAGATATTTATGCAGCTAAGCTTGGCCATTGGACTCAAATCTGTCCTTCAAAGAGAAATATTTGTGATTGACTGAGCTGGAAGTTCAATATAGCCTCTCACTTTCTTCTTAGCCTATAGTCTGAAAATTAGCGGTAGTAGCTGGAGCACTAACAGCCATCTTGGGTCCTGGGATGATACAGAAGATAGGAACTTGGATCCTTGAGAAAATTGTGGACCCACCATTCCTATCTGTAATTCCTAGCTTCAGACTTTTTCTGTGTGTGAGAGAAATAAAGTTTTATCTTCTTTGCCATTCATGTTTTTGTTGTTGCTGTCACTGTTAAGGAAGAATCCCAGTCAAGCCCAAACTTGTGCTCAAGAGGCTGGTTATGTCTGATGAAACCATACATCCACCACCTCTTATTGCCAGCTATTAGTATGTGTTGTTAAAGACAGATGGAAATATATTCCTTTTAACAAGGAATGACTTGTTAAACCCAAATATGACTAGGTAGTAATGCTCTTATTTCTATCTGTGAATTTGTGTCCATTCCAAATGAATCTCTGGAAGATTTGTTTTTTGTGTTGTGTCATTTTCTATTTTTATGTTAGGAGAGGCATTGAAAATCTGCCTTGTAGGAAATGTAACATCTTGCTTAGAATTGTGAATACAGTAGATTCTCCGTTGCACAGAAACAGGGACAGCCTTATATTTCCTATGTGATACCCTTAAACAGTCTATTCATTCATTCAACATTTTGTTTTTGAGTAACTATTATGGGTCAAGTAAATTATGGGAAGGCTTTGCTATTTAGTCAGCTCATGTCTATTATCACATGGGACACTGTGAATTTGTAGAAGTTAGAAAAAAAGAAAAGAAAAAGATTGAACTGAATGAAAAAAGTCTAAAAATTTGTCCCAAAGAGTTGTCTTATTTTAAATTTTTTTCCCTGTGTTCAAAGACAGGACTGTAATCTACATTTCCCCAGATGACACCAGCCTTTGAGTACAGATATTAATGTTAAATATTAATGCTCCAATTACAAGGGTTCATAGTTGCCATTACAAAATTTCTCAGTACTCCTGCCACAAAGTCTCCCAGTCTTTTTTGGAATCATAGGGGAAGGGTCTCCCATGTGCTGATGATCAACCTCTTCATATTATTCACCTACTGGCTGCTGAGGTGCTTGCAAGACTCTTAGCATTCTGCCTCAGGTCAGGGTCTTCCAGGAGAACACCCCTCTCCTGTGAAGATGCCATGTTCAAGTTCTCTCAGGTTACAAACCACCACACTGCCAAAGGATGCTGCATTCATGTTAAACTGCAAAGGGCTGGAAATTGACTTGTTCTGTGCAGAAATGAGAAAAGTTTTTCTCAAATCAGCTCTGCCACCTTGAAGTACTACCGTTTTTGCTCCTAAGTCTCCTAAGAACACATTTTGTGTGTGTGTGTGTGTGCTTGTATTTATAGTCCTTCAGTATGTGGTCCTTTCTTATACTCAGTCTCTTGTGTTTCCACTGGAGGCTCCTGGGGTATGAAGTTTTATCCCAACAGGTCTTTATTCTCCCATATACATCAGCTCATGCTAACAGCTTGCAGGAAGGGCTACTGCCCCATCAGTTAATCAGACATAACCAAACCCTGAATCCTAGTTTGGGTTCAAATGGGAACTCTGCTATGTCAGAACTTAACTTAGACTTTAGATGATTTTGATAAAGTTGAGAATAAAGCTGTAATTTCTTGATATTGTGTGTGTGTATTATATATGTGTGTACATATATACATACATGTATTACCATATCCCATAAAGCTTATAATTTGTATCAATACGGTATGCTTGAAACATAGGCAGTGCCATTTTCTCATTAAGTCATCTCTTTCAGTTGCAAAACTAATATGAGGAATGCCACATGCTATAACATGTATTTTACTTACTCTACATTTATCCAGATGTGAGTATGAGTAATGTACTTACAGTGTTCCCTTAAGCCACTATTTTCCTACATGCTAAAAAACCTTCTATACACAGTTTTTTTTTTCTATACACAGTTTATACATTTTTTAATTTATTTAAAAGGTGACCTAATAGATTTTTCCCTTTTGCAGTCTCCCCTTAGTAAATGTATCTACTGTTACCATGAATAAAGGAGATACGAATGGGTGGAGGAGATATGGAGAGGTCAGCACTATTGTAGATAAACACAATGTGAAAACAAGGAACTACTCTTTAATTATTGGCATAGAAATAACGGCAAGAAACAAAATTACTTCCTGAACCACATTCTATCACCTGACTAGTTGCAAAGAGCTCGTTTTGCCTGTTTTAACCAAATGAAAATCTTAACCATCTGAATTTAGGGCTGTAGAGTAAATTATAACAACTCAGGATCCTTGACAGTAGTAATCACAGTACTAAAATGTTTATTTAGCTAGAAAGTGGTTAGAACCATTGAGAAATATTTTATCAGGTTAACAGATTAGAGAAAGAATAGAAATATATATATTTTTTAAAGGCACAAAATATCACAACATCTGAGAAGCCTAAGGTGTAAAGTGTATTCAGCACTACCAACTGTAATGGAAAGAAAATTCCAAAGCATGACAGTCCAGTGCAATTGTTAGTAGCACCTGTGGTAGGATTGAAGTTAAACAGAAAGAAATATAAGGCATTTGTTTAATCTATGATCTTGTAGAAAGAAGGGTCCCAACACAGTAGATTTTTCCTTTTAAGATTAGCCAGATGTGGTTCTTTCTAAGGGCATAGTGATGGAACCACAGAAGAGAGATCACAAATGATAGGACAGAATGGCAGATACAATAAAGTTATTTTTAAGACGGAGAGAAATCTATACAAACCTGACTCAAACAAAATACAAAAGCTGTTTCTTCTTCAGTCATTTATGCAGAAACTTGCACTAAATTAAAAGGTGTGATGCATATATTAGCAATTCCTATAGTCTGGTTCTTTTACTGCCCTGGCCTGTTTAGTAGAGACTATTTGGTCAGCACTGTCAATTATATGCTTTTTTCATCAGCCTGATGTTTGATCTGCACTCTGTCTAGAGCTAACAGTAAAAGAGCTACACTCAGAAATTTAGGAAGTTTTGGTTGGCAATCAGGTGTTAACCCTCGTTTACGCTATGCGAGGTTTATATTTCATCCTAGAAACTAGCTGGGTGACTGTTGCTCTTTTTTGACAGCCAGCAAGAAGCTATGCCTTAGACCAGCTTGGCTGCTGTCCTGGGTAGAAGAGTTTGGCAGCCCTAGGGAGATGAAATTCTTCAGCTTCGGACCCGCCCAGAGTACTCCCTCTCAGCGACTACTCTGTTGCTATGAAACAAAAGACTAGGAAGGTGAGCGAAGCAGGAAGTCCCGCCTTTTAGCCCCAGTTGGCTTTGGCTCGGGCTCCCAATGCTCACGCCCACCCGCCCACTCCTTATTGGTCAGTTCCCTAGTGCCTGGCATCCTTTCTTCCATTTCCTTTCCCTTTTCCACTTTCTTCCTGGGTGAGTCCCGTCCCCCCATTTCCCTCCCAGTCCCTTTCTATTTGGGACGTGCCGCGAGCGGGCCTTCCTTTGGGGCCATTGTGTACTGTGGGAGACGTGGACTGGGTGGTAGTGCGAGAAGGACGGCCGCCTCCCGCCCATTGGCGCCGCCCGCTGTCGGGCAGTGCAAGGGCGCGTGGGATTGGCCTAGCGGCGCGCGGCCCCGCCCCCGGCTCCGCCCCGCTCCTGGGTCTCTCTGTGTGTGTATCCTACAGGGGTGGGGTATCCAGCGAGTGGTCTCCACCTCCAGCTAGTGCTGCTGCGGCGTCCCGCGGCCTCCCCGAGAATCAGGCGGGAGGGGAGAGCGGGTGTGGATTGGTCTTGACGGTAATTGTTGCGTTTCCCCGTCTCGGTGGTCTGTGCTCTGGGTTGCTCCTTCCTCGGGAACGTGCTTTTACGGCGATCACACACTCCCTACCCCGGCTACCCACGCACCCTGGGCTCGTGCGTGTAAAGTAGGACCCGCGCACACTCGTGTCTCTGGACAGCTACAGCGCGGAAAGGCCGGGAGGGAAGGGGGCGCCGGGGAGGCTTGCCGCTTCTTTCCGGCCAGGGGGCCCTGGGGCAGTCAGCCGCGGGCCACGGAGGTACAGGGGACAGCCCTGGCTTCCAGCTGCTGTCGCCGCCGCCGGCACAGTTTGAAGAGGGGTATTTAAAGACCGGAACCCTGGCTGGGCCGGGGGAGGAGGGAGAGGGAGTGAAGGGAGACGGGCGGCTGGGATTGCAGACATCCCGGGTGTGTGTGTGGGGGGGGGTGCGTCCGCCCGGGAGCTGAATGCGGGGCGCCCAAGACCGATGGGTCTGCGGGCGCTGGAGGTGCGAGGGGATACTCTGGCCTTTCTGTGTCCACCTTCCTCCCCCAGCTGAGGTCCGAGAGTGGCAGGGGAGGGTCCTGAACAAGGAGGGGTCACAGACGTCCCGAAACAAAGCTTTGGACCCCCACTCCCCTTGAGTGAGACGAGAGGAAAGGAGCGAAATAAGTGAACTCTCTTCTCCTTTCTGTACCCGCTCTTGTCAGTTTCTCACCCCTCTTTTTTTAGTGGGTTATTTGTTGGTTTATTTGGCTCTTAACTTGGGGCTAACTCCTTACCACGTTGGTTTAAAGAACTGTGTGTTCGTGTGTCCGTGTTCCCGTATTCGTACTTGTTGGTTTTAGCCGGGAAAATCCGAGTCCTAAGCCATTGTTGACAACAGATATGTCCCTTGTGCTCCTGTAGAATAATCTTTACGTTTATATAACTCGGTGAAATCTAACAGAGTGAAAGTGAGGTTTTCAAGTGAGGCTCCCAAAATGTTTTCTGGGAGCTTTAGTTCTAGTGTACATTGAATTGAGATTAAGGCAGGGATGGGGAGAACATTGTGTTCTTATCTAGTTGGAGGAAACCTCTGTAAGTTGTTTGTTTTGTTTGTTTGTTTGTTTTGGTTATGAGTTGGGTATTAATCAAGGCTTTGCTACGTGAAATTCGAGAAGGATGTATCTTTAACTCTTAGTGCCCCAAAAGGTTACTGTTTGTTGTGTGTACAGATTGAGAGTGCAAATTCATTGCTATTGAGAAGTTGAATCTGGGAACCTGGGATTTTGTTCTCACTGATGGAGAATGTAGTGGGTACAAATTAACCTGTTCAGTTTTCTGCTGGATAAACATTTTCATGACCGACTAACTTTTTTTTTCTTAATCTGCCTTTCAAAGAACTAAGGTTCCAGATGGCAAATTCTATGAATGGCAGAAACCCTGGTGGTCGAGGAGGAAACCCCCGAAAAGGACGGATTTTGGGTATTATTGATGCTATTCAGGATGCAGTTGGACCTCCTAAGCAAGCAGCAGCGGATCGCAGGACTGTGGAGAAAACTTGGAAACTCATGGACAAAGTGGTAAGTTCTGTATGCTTGTGCCTCTGTGTAGCCTTATTTGCCCTGGATATGGTTTCCTCTTGTATGGTTTTATTTGTACCATCAACTAATATTATTGTTACCCTTAATTAATAATTATTGTTACGGCAACGGTCTTTTGACTTGGATTGACCATTTTCCTTGCATCCACTCCGTGTGTTTTAAAAAGTTGGATTCAGAGCAAAGACTTGTTTTTTTTACCTTTTGTCCTACTCTTCAAGGTTCAAAGTTCCTCTATATGACTCAGATATGCAAAGTTTTTACTGTTGGCTGCCCTTTGTTAGTACATGGCCATAGAATAGTTTGGAAGTGTTTGCTCTGTCTTATATGAGGTTGTGTTTCTGTTAAGTAACAAACGAGTGCAAACCAGTGTTTTAAGAAAACCCTCTGAGGGACCACTCATGACAACCACAATGCATGACGCTGAGAATATTTACTAGAGGAAGAACCAGATTAGTCCTTAAGTGAGGAAGCAGTATTTGAGAGAGTTTCCATTTTCATCTGTGAGAATTCATCTTCATTAAGAAACTTTTCGTTGTTGCTGTTAATGGTAGAGTTACAGTTTCTTTTATCTATTCCATTTGAAACAGGAAACCTTTTCGACTGCACATTGTTTATTGTGAAAGGAAAATTTATGATGGAGGTGGTGGGGCTGAGAGTATCAGAAACCTCTGTGGTTTCTGCATGTTGCTTTCAGATGAATAATAATTTTACAAGAAGAAGTCAAGCTGGATGTCAGTACCCTGAGAAGTCTAGGCAACCTGAATATTTTACTGGAGTCTACTGAGAAACTAGCTTTCAGTGTCCTAGCTTACTAAGTAGGATTATGAAATAAATATGATTAAGATGTAGCTTGCTGCTGTGCAGAATTAATAGTTCTTGTTTTTGAAGCAGTAGTACTGTCCCCTGCATATTGGTAAATGTTTGTAGCAACATCTGGTTTCATTTCATAGATATTTGGGGCTAATTATGAATTTAGTTGATACAGGGCTCTTGATATTTTTGTGACTGCAGAAATGGAGGTTTAAAAAAATATCCTTTGTAGGGATGTGCTAAAGCCTCCATGAAATCATATAGTAGCAGTCGCCTTTAGTTTGGCCTGTAACTGTGTATGAATATTTGCCACAAAAAGCCACTGTCAGTGTGGTATTCACGGTATAGGAAGGTGATAAGATTTGCTTTATTTTCATTTATCTGTATATAAAGTACAGATGGATAGATGAATGATAGGCCTGCCATTCTAGGGCTGGTGATGCTAAATGCAGAGTCAGAAATTTTTGCCAGATAAATATCCTTAGTTTTGGGCTTCATTGTGACCTATTTAAGCTTCTGCCAGTTTATTCAAATTGTGATATTAAAATGCTCCAGACAGAATGATGTCATAGTGTCAGAACATTGCAACTTGCTGCTTGAGGTCAGGTTTGGATTTTAGCGTTGGACACTTAAGAATGAGGGGTATGCAGTGGGAAGAACTGCATATATTTGGCAGGCACAAAACTAACTGTCTTTACTTTTCTAAAGAAAATGCAATGTAAGGTCACTCTCATTGCCTAAATCATTAGTTGGGCAAAAGAGAAGGAATTCATGGTTTTTCCCCAGCTTACCTGTTATATGAGTGGGCAACACACGGGTCAGATTCTACCAAGGAGCTGCCGCTCCCTCCCTATCCCCTTATGTGAGAGGTCATAATTTGTATGTGAGTGAATGTTAGCACAGCAAATAAAAAAGACTGATATCAGGAAGTGGTGAGCTATAGTTAATATAAAGTCATTATTTTTCAAACATTAAAGAATATATTCATAATTTTGGTTTGTAACTGATTGTTAACATAAGTTTTATCCACTTATAATTATTTCACCATGGGTTATGGTAAAATAGATGGTTTTGTGATAGTTAAGCCTCTGCCATTGTTTATTTTATTAACCCTTTTGTGGGTTCGGGTTTAGCCTCTCCAGTTGAGAAACTTGACTCATAAGGAAAACTATTATTGAAAGTCTCTACTTAGTGGAATGTGGGTAACGGTGTTGGCAAAGGTGCATTGGTATGACTTTCCCTATTTGTCTTCATTATTTGTCAAGAATGAAAATGATTGTGTTCATTTAAGAATGCATCCAGGGGCTTTGTGGAGGGAAAGCACATAAATCGGTATAAAAGACTTCAGGATGTTTATCACTACTCTATCACACAGTAATAAAAAGGCATTGATAATTACTAACTGAAAATATAATTGTGTAATGCAGAAGCATCCCTCACATGTGTTTACCTTTTTTTTTCTTTGTTAGTGGTGAAGGAGGTGGTTCTCAACATTGTCCTGGTGATTACGTCAGGATATTTATTATGAGTCCAAAAGTTAATCCCTTGATGTATCACCTGTTTTATAAAATAACAGCAATAGCCTGAGTTTAGCTTGCGAATAACAGTAAATAGTAACTTTCAAGTCTAGCTGGTGGTTACCTGAAAGGCAGGGTTAGGTGTTTAGTTAGCATTTTTTTTCTTTAGGAAGCCTCTTCAACAAGGGCAGATCTTAGAAGGATAAATATGAAACAAACTTTAAGTTCAGTATGTTGCAGCTACCTACAAAGTAAAAGAACTTATTTTACAGGGGATATGAAGCAGTCTCAGACTATAGGAGAAATACCCAGTAAGTCCGTAGTTTTACCATTCCCTGGCCTCTAGAATTTAAAAAGTCAACTGAGACTCCAGTTCCAACTAATTGTTATGTTTTCAGAGGGCAGACTTCTGTACAAGATCACTGAGAGTAGGAGGGAGTTATTGCTCAGTTGTGTTTTTTTGGTGAGATGTTAAGTGTTCTGTAACCAAACGTCAGTTTACTGAGAAAAAGAATGGTAGCATATACCAAAGCATCCCATTGAGACATGTTTTCTGGCCTTAGCTCCATGTGTCAGTTTACGTCAATAGCTAAGCCCAAACTCTTCCGGTCCCTGGATGCCTGTTTGATGCAGTGACAGAACTATTACTCATGAATATATATATCCAGGTTCAAATATACCTGAAATATGGAGTCTGTTTCAAAACTATTACAGAGATGGGTTTCTTAAACACTTAATCAACATGTAATGAGGGCCTACTATGTTCCTACTAAGTGCTTGATACTAGGATACAAAGCTAGGTAAGATGTGTATAACTCTGCCTCTGACCTGTCAAGGAACTCAGACACCAACATCAGAGCCAGGCATATAAATGGTAATTTATTATTTATATTATATTTATTAGGTAATTGCCATATAGTATGGACAAGACTGTAATACAGACCTATGGGAAGTACAGTGGGAGCAAAGTGAAGAAGAACCTCCTTGTTTTTCTGGCTACTGTTCAGACAGTTGTCTGTCTGGATTCTGCTGCACACTACCTTTAGGAATAGCATTATTGTACTCTTGTTGGAAATGCTGAGGTGAGGGTAAGGAAATGATTACTATTCAGTATGGGAGGAATGATAATTTATTAATGTGAGGTTCCTGAGCATGGTTTTCACAAGCGTCTTAGCCAGGTGGTGGAAAATGGAAGAAACAGTTTTCAATCTAATAGATGCTAAATGTACTGAGCTTACATGGATGTTCAGGAAATTAGAAAAGAGTTAATTGATGCCAAAGAGCAAAGCAAGTTGAGTACCTGCCTATGTTTTGTCTTGCTGTCCTTGTCGTTTATTTGAAATTACATTACTGAAAGAGTTTTAAAAGCATTTAAAAAGTGATGATGCCAAATAGCCTTTTCCTGCCTTTTACCCTTAGTACATTCAGTACATTTGTCAAGCTTGGAGTGTAATTCATTCTCCATCTTTATAATTTTACTGCAACTATAATATATCTTAAAGGTTGTCAATCAAAGATGCTTGGAATACATGCAGCTACTTTAACAACTAATAGTCGGTATACTTTTCTAAGATGAATTCCTCATACCTCTGAAAAATATTATATGTGGGTTAAAACGTAGGTTTTGGATGCCTGTTGTTTGTGTTTTTTGGGTTTGAGATATCACCGTCCTTGGGCCCTTGGAATAGGGAATGTCATTTATTTGAATTATTCTTCATGTATTTCCTTTACTCCAGTGAAGTTCTTCCATGTTAGCAGAATCATGGGCACTATTAGACTTGGGTAGATGATAACACATTAAGTGTCTGAACATTTTTGTTTAATACTGAGATTTTGAACTTGTGCTTGGCTAAGTGAAGTGATCCCAAAGTGCTCCTTTCCACTTTTAGGGAAAACTTTTGGTAAAGTAAAAGATTTAAAGGAATCCTACCAAGTTACCTTGGTTTATCCTTGTGACATAGGACATTCATTTAACAGAAGGCTTAATCAGTTAGTCATCTTTTCAACTCTTATAAAATCTTTACAATTCAGATTATAAATCAGCTCTTCCTTTCTTCAAAGTTCCTCTACATGGTATCTGTTGATTTCACCATTCATTTATCAAATTCCATCTATGGAAAGACAGAGATTTATAAATACCCATTCCATTCTATGTAGTATAGTGTATTCTACATGCTCTAGAATGTAGTAAATGCTGTAATGGGGTGTAAATAAAGTGCTGTAACATAGGATATGGTGGGGGAGAATGTGCTTGCTGGGGGATGAAGAGTCGATAAGGAACACAGCATGGTAGAGGTGTTATCCAGCTACTCTTTCAAGGATGTTTTGGATTCCAGTGACGTGCAGAACACACCAGGCTGAAGGAATGTGGGTAAAGGGAGATTGTTGAGAAGGTAAGTTAGAGAAAGATGAAGAGGCTTTCTGCTCTTTCAAGGAGTCTGGACTTTATTCAGTGGAAGAGAATGTTAAAACCTAAAGCGGAATGTGAAAAACAGTTAAGGCTATGCTCTGGTAGATTACTCTCTTGACTCTACAAAAGATGGATTAAGAGAAAAACTTAAAAGTAGGAGTAGTGATCAAGAGGAATTAAAATGGACTGGGCAAGAAATAATGAAGGGCTGAGCTAGAGAATTGAGAGTTGATATAGCAAGT